GAGAATACTTCGAGGCCTTAGTGTGTACTTGGAAAGTTAAATCTAATTAAAAACTGAAGTATGTGCTTTAGATTTCAGTTCAGCAGTCTTAATTGTTGTCTTTGTATAGAGTATAGCAAATGGGGCTCTAGCTTTTCTGTTCTGTGTTAACACAAGCTTTCCACATCATTTGATTGGCTGTACTTACTCGTTGGTTTTTTCCCAAATATCTTCCAGCCTCAAAATCACTGACATTCACATACAGACACAAGAGCACACAGAAACAAGCAGACAGACATACTTATAACACTAGCCCAAAGAAATACAGTCGCCGTTTGTAAATTGTTGTTGTCTGTTACCTAATGAGATAAAAGTCTATAACAATGTAAATGTAAGTGTACTATGTGCAAATGTAAATATAAACAATGATTTACAAATCTCATCAACCCATGTTTTATTCATAATGGGATGTAGAAATCATATCAAATGAAACATTATTAGCTCATTTTGAATTTGATAGCAGTAACGTGTCAAAAATGTTCAGGTAGGTGCAACAAATGGCTGGAAAAGTAAGTGGTACTAAAAAAAGAGCTAGAGGAGCATTTTGGGACTAAAGTTTATAATAAGCTTGTGTGCAACATGATTGGGTGTAAAAAGAGCATCGCAGAGAGGCAACATTTTACCAGTTTGCAAAAGAATTGCATCTCTAAATTGGAGAATGATTGCAGAATAATGTTCCTCAATGCTAAATTGCAAAGACATCATCTATGGTGCATAATATTATCAAAAGATTCTGCAAATTTGGAGAAATCTCTCTCAATATTTTGAGCTTGAGAAATCTCAAGCTCAAAATATTGTTTGCTTGATGCTTGTGATTGAGGTGGCAGACCTTTAAAAACAGGCATGATTCTGTCATGGAAATCAGTGCGTGGGCTCAGGGACACTTCTAGAAATCTTTGTGAACACAGATCATGAAGCCATACGCAAATGTAGGTTAAAACTTAAGAAAGCTGTGAACGTGAATCAGAAACATCACCATCTTCTCTGGGCCAAAGGTCATTTAAAATGTAATGAGGAAAAGTGGAAAACTGTTCTGTAGTCAGATGATTTAAAATGTGAAAAAAGGATACCGCCTCCTCCATACTAAAGAAGAAATGGACCTTTGGGCTCATTATCAGTACTTAGCTCAAAAACCTGCATCACTGATGTTGTGGGGCTGTATTTATTCTAACCATAAGCCTGTAAAGGTGACAGATCTTAAAACACTGAGACACTGTGAAGTC